CTCAATTGTAATCCCCACGGGTTTCCCATCACCAAATCATCCCTGTGCCACCACCATAGTCCCGTGCATTTCCCTCCCTTCCCCCCCCCCCACACGTTTTTGATCCCATTCCCCACTCCACCCCCACAGAATGTCTCTGGTCTATGGTTGTTCATTATTTTTGTTATTTTCTCGCCTGGTCCATTATACTCCTGCTACGAGTGAAACCATCCGGTATTTTTCGTTCTCTTTCTGGCTTATCTCACTAAGCATGATCTTTTCCAGCTCCATAGGATTCCTTTTTTTTAACCTATATGTTTTTTAAGATTTATTTTATTTATTTATGCATACAGGTATTGGGGTATAGGCCAAAGGTGTGGGGATGAGAGGATTCATCAAAGGCAGAGTGGGGAGCAAAACAGGCATATTGATTGAGAAATACTGCTGAGGGGAGCAGAGGGTGAGACAGGAGAGGTCTGCTGTGTCATGTGCATCAGCTCCTTGGAGGAGGGGGGCAACAAACTCATGCTGCAGTGGCTGCTGGTAGCTTCATAGTACTGAGACTTAACCCCTTGTGCCACAGGGAAGCCCTACTTAGGATTCTTTTAGGTACCTTTTGTGCAACACATGACTTTGACCCCATGTTTTCTTTTGTTTTTTCTTTTCTATAAAGATTTATTTATTTGTGTATACAGAACTGGGGTACAGGCCAGAGGCTCAGGGGTGGCAAGAGACTTCACCAGAGACAGAGTGGGGAGCAAAACAGGCAGATCAATGAAATACACTGCTGAGGGGAGCAGCAGGCCGGTCAGGAGAGGTCTGCAATGCCATGTGGTCACCTCTGGGGCAAGAGGGAATGAACTCATGCGAAGTGGCTCTAGCTTCTCAGTGCTGTGCTTTAACCCTCTGCACCATCAGGGAGGGCCGACCCCATCTTTTCACTGGAGGTTGCTGACTGCTTGTTTTATTTTTTAATGCAGTTGGAAAATAGCTGTTAACATTTTTTCCCCCCAGTACACTAACAAGCTCTGCATTTTATTAAAAGAAGGCTTCATTCCTCCTCTGTTACCTCCCATTAAATAATCCAGTGGCCTGGTAGACATCTGTTGATAGATAATTGTGGGGTTTGTCGTTTTTATTGGTTCTTGTAGGCTTGATTTTCAGAATGATAAAATAGTAATTCTGTTTATATAGCAGTATTTTTCCAGCACAGTGTTTAGTTTAAGATATGCTGTGGGTTTTTTTTTTGTTGTTTGTTTGTTTTAGATACTCTTTATAATAGCCCTTTCCCTTCCTTGTAGGACTACTAAAATACAGGGAGTATTTGTACATATGTGTTATGTTGTATAAAAACAAAAGGAATTAAACAGATTTTTTAGGATGTTGTGTCATTTTCTTTAAGTAAACTAATTAATGTACATAAATGTGTCTTATGTTAGATTTAATCTATTAACCTCTTACTTTCTACTCTTAACATCCAAGTTGAAATATGTGGCAGTGCTTTAGACAACAAGAAACAGGAATTCTCTTGTTAAATGTCTTGTCTTTTTCCTTTCTCCTTACCTGTTCATATTTTTAATTTTTGACTGGGTTTTTTCTTTGTGTTAGTAAATACAGTCCATAATAGTTATAGTGTTTTCTTTCTTATAACTTCATTCACTAGTAAGAGACTGAACCTCCTGGATGCCAGGTCTGGCTTAGTTTAAATACTCACCCTGACCAGTCTAATTGGCTAAGAGTATATGAAAAACTGGCAGAACTGGCTTATATAAGAAAACATGCATATGAGAAATGGGATACTGAGCACATATTTATAAAGCAGACAAGTATTTTTATAGTTTATAGCATTAGACACCTATGTTAGAAAAATTAGAAAAAAGTATTTCAAATCAGTGACTTCAGATCAGTTAACTAAAAGGGAAGAATTGGTGAGATCCAAATAAGTAGGAAAAAAAGAAATAATAAAAATCAAAGTAGACATCAGTTAAGTAGGAAGGGGAAAAAACTGAATGAACTAAAAAGCTGATTTGTTAATAATATCAATAAAATATGTAAACCTGTAGCCAGAGTGATTAAGAGGTGGGGGAGATGCAAATTATTAACATAGAAAATGAGAGATGGCACCTTTACAGATACTAAAAAGATAAGGTAATTGTAAACAGATACATATAGAAATGTGTTTAACAGCAAGTTAAATAAAGTGAATTTCTTGAAAGATAAAGATTTTCAGAGCTCACTCAAAAAATAGGTAACTTGGGAAATTTAATTTGTATTTATTATCCTTCTCACCAAGTAAATGATAGATCCAGATGACTCCATTGATGAAGTCTACCAAACAGTTAAAAAAGAAGTATGATTGATACTACACAAACTTATAGAAAACTGAAATGAAAGGAATATATCTCAACTTATTATAGGAAACCTGCACTGCCGACACCTCAACCAAAGACAGTATAAGAAAAGAAAGCTACACACATATAGCCTCACGAACAGATTCAGAATTGTAGCATAATTTAAAAATTAGAATCCAGTACCAAGTAAATTTCACTTCAGAATGCAAGGTTGATTTAACACTTGGAAATAAATGATAATGCATTACATTAACAGAATTAAAAGGATAAACTGTTCATCTCTATAAATATAGAACAGCATTTGATAAAATCCAATGTTCCTTTCTGATAAAAAACATTCATCAAAGTTTGAATAAAAAGAAATCTTAACTTGATAAGATGAATGAATGGCATCAAACCCTATGGTGAAAAAAGTCAGTGCTTTCCCCAATTGATCAAGGAAACAAAGATTTCCCTTTTTATCCTTGTACTGAGCAATGTGCTAGCAGTTCTAGCCAGTGGAGTAGGCAAGAAAAGAAATCCAGGGCCCTCCCTGGTGGCACAACAAGTTCAAGCTCAGCACTATGAAACTATCTGCAGCCACTGCAGCACAAGTTCAATCCCCAGCAGACCTCTCCCAACCCACCCACTGCTCCCCTAAGCAGTGTTATTTCAGTCAGTCTGCCTGTTCTGTTCCCCACTCTGTCTCTGGTGAATTTTCTAGCCCTCCATACCTCTGTCTTGTACCCCAGTTCCTGAATGTATAAATAAATAAATCTTAAGAAAAGAAAGCCAGACTGGTTGGGAAGAAGTAAACCTGTTTTTATTCAGACATTATCAGATTTTCATAAAATACCACGATGGCTACAGAAATTCCACTGGATCTAAAAGTTTATTAAGGTTTTAGGGTATAAAGTCAAATTCAGGAACCAAGCTGTGTTTCGATTCCATTAAGACAATGAACAATTGGAAGTCAAAATTTTAAAAACTACCGTTTGCAATAGGCTCAGAAATTTTGGAATAGTGAGGAAAAAGCCAGCAAGCAGTGAAAAATATCTACACTGGTAACTCTAAAACATAGCTGGGGAAATAAAGAAGACCTCAATAAATGGAGACATTTGGAAGCTATCAAAATTCAGGGATAGCCTATAAAGTTTTAGTATGTTTGAAACTAGGGAGAATCTATAAAAGATTACTTGGTGCTCCCATGGTCTAGCCCCAACCCAGGCTCTGGAGGTCACACAGCCTCCTCCCTGGCACCTGGGACACTGAATAAGTCATAAGAAATAAAACTAAAATAAGTAAATACAGGGGTTAGAAGGGGGGTTAGAAGACTCAGTATTTTTTAGTTCACCCTAAATTAACTGTATATTCAGTATACTCCCAATAAAATCCAAGCAGCTTTTAGTTTTCTTCTTATTAAAGTAATTCTAAAATTCACATGAAAATGCAATGGATCTAGACTAACCATACAGTTTTGACAAAAGAAGCTATGACATATTCTGTAATTTCAATCTTTACTATAAACTGCAAAAACCAAAGCTGAATAGGGCATCCAGAAACAGACTGATGCATTTGTGGTTAATTGATTTTCAAAATAAAGTGGCATTGGCATTCAAACTAGCAACTCTGAAAGGTCTGAGGTGAGATAAACATTTCTGTCCTAAACATATGTTATTAGTCAGAAACTGTAGTTTAAAACAATGGGTTGAACCAAGAAGAGGGAAAGGTAGTATCCAGAAAATAGATTCAAGCATGGGGTAAAACTGAAGTAATCCCCCTAGGAACTATACTGAATTTAGGTGTAAACTACTTTGGATTAGAGCAAGAAGATCTAAAAATGAGTTGACTAATAGAGAAAAAGAAACTACTTAGTTCGAATTTACAGAGAATATTAATGATAGTGTGTAGCAGAAAAATAGCAAAAATGATGGGTGAAACCATGGAGAAAATTTAAAATGTAATCATCATTTACTCTGTTGTAAAGGATTATGTACTTTGACAAAAAGGAGAGGAGGTTTTTGTGACTACTGGTCTGTATGCTGTACACTATACATAGTCGCAGTAATGTAGATTGCATATTCTAGATGACTATATCTGAATGGAAATAGGATTTAATGGGCTCCTGTTTTCAAAATGGCTCAATACCTCAGGAAGTAGCTTTTTATGAGAGAATGAGAGTTCGAAAGAGGCTATCTCTTCTGCTCCATGCCCTTTTCCCTATCCCCCCACTTAATGATAGTTTATTATACTTACTATATGTATTTCATTTATCAGTTTATAAACCAGTGTTTTTAGGGAAAATCTCTTTTCTAAAATAACCTTGTTCCTTACTTGTTTTGGGCAAAATGTAAACATGACCGAGTACCATTATTAATCTTTTTTACTTATGCATACAAGAGTTGGGGTATAGGCCAGATGTGTGGGGGGTGGAGTGATAAGAGGATTCACCAGACACAGACTGGGGAGCACAACTGTGGACTGATTGAAATACACTGCTGAGGGGAGTCATGGGTAAGACAAAAAGAGGTCTGCAGTGCCATGTTGGTCAGCTCCCTGGCTGGGCATTGAATTCATGATGCAGTGGTTGGAGATAGTTTCATGGTACTGAAACTAAACCCCTTGAGCCACCAGAGAGATCTACCATTATTAATTTATTTAAATAAGATTTTTTTTTTTAATGCCCTCTAGGAAGTAAGAAGAAAGAGAAGGAACGGCCAGAAATTTCTCCTCCATCTGATTTTGAGCATACCATCCATGTTGGTTTTGATGCTGTTACTGGAGAATTCACTGTAAGTTTACTTAGTTATGACTGATTTTTTTTTTTAACTTATGCATACAGAACTGGGGTACAGGCATGAGGTGCAGGAGTGGTGAGAGGATTCACCAAAGGCAGAGCAGGGAGCAGAACAGGCAGATCCACAAAGTACACTGTTGAGGGGAGCAGCAGGCAGGTCAGGAGAGGTCTGCCGTGCCATGTGGGTCACCTTGGTATGGGGATCGAACTCGCAGTGAAGCAGCTAAGGCTACCAGGGAGGGCCAGTTATGACTGATTTCTCTATCAGTATTCAAACCTTTACCTTCAGTATTAAGTTAGAAATTAACTTTTCTATCTGTAGGTTAACTGAACTCTTAGTGCTTTTCTTCTTTGTATTTTGATATTTTTCCTAGGGAGCTCATCCTGTTAATTAAAATTAACAATAGATTTACAAAAATAGTCTTTCAGAAAATTAGACCTTAACAATAGATTTACAAAAATAGTCTTTCAGAAAATTAGACCTTTTAGAATTTAAGTGTCCTAAGTACATAATGAATAGATTTATTCATATTGTGTATTTTGTCATTTACTTCTGGAAATAGATTTTTTTTTTTTAGAGTAATTTAAAGCAACTAATTTCTGATTATATGTTTGTTAGGGCATGCCAGAACAGTGGGCTCGATTATTACAGACCTCCAATATCACCAAATTAGAGCAAAAGAAGAATCCTCAGGCTGTGTTGGATGTCTTAAAGTTCTATGACTCCAACACGGTGAAGCAGAAATACCTGAGCTTTACACCTCCTGGTAAGACATCAAACAATTGTAAAAGACTGACTTAAAACGGACTATAGAGTTGTTTTAAGATGTCCAGACACTAAAAAGAAAAGAGTGTGTGTGTGTGGTGTTGTGTTGTGAAAGACTATACCATGTTTTGGTAAAATATTGGTGTAAAAACATTAGCTTATAAATTTACTCATTGACACAAATTCTAGGGACAAGTCTAATTTTTTGCTACAAATGTACTAAAGTAGAAACGATGGTCATTTGTCAAAGGGTCTCTATTTCTTCTTTGAACATAGTTCTTATTTCTGTGAGGATGCACTCAAATTACTATTAATTAAATTTTCATAAAATTAAATTAATTAAAACTACATTTTTATTTTAATTCAAGCATATTAAAAGCTACATGGATGGTAATACTGATCACATGGAGGGACAGTGAAACATTTCAAATGACACCCTAATGATGTAACTAGCAAAATCTATACCAAGAGATGTAGGACAAATGATTCAGTTTCTTGAGATTCACTAACTGTTGTGTATACATCCTTGTTTGAATATGAAAATAATCTGAGAACATTTTACTTGTTCTGGTTATTTTTATTTTCCTTTTACTATGTAGAAGTTGTTTTATTTTTTGAATTGTTAATTTAGCATTATTTCTGTTATATATTCAGAGAAAGATGGCTTCCCTTCTGGAACACCAGCAGTAAGTTTATATGTTATTTCTTGTAGCTTGTCCTAATTTAAGTTACCCAAAGCAGATTTGTTTTTGTTTTGCTTTCTAAAATATTTGGCAACCATCAGAAATAACTATTAACATATATTTTTAGGTAACCACGTAATTAGTTGAGAGCTATATTAAGTAAACTGAATTTCCTTGCTATAATACTTAAAGGTTATGAAGACTAAATATAGCACCTTGTAAAGTACCTGTATAGCATCCTCTTAGCATATAATGAGGTGTGTTAAAGTTAATGCCTTCTTCTTTTGCTTCATTGACCACCAGTTTTTCTGGTGACTGTTTTAAATGACTCAAAATAACATTACTTATACAAAGACCACAGAAGCTTTGTTTTTTAGTTTAATGAAGTGGTTATTAACTTTTAGGGCTTGGTTTGAAGGCGATAAAATTCTCTATTAAGGGCGTGAATTCTCTTAAGAATATTTTGTTACATTTATTACATAAACTTATTCTTCTGTAAGTTACAGAATCACCATTACTTTTTAATTAAGTTTTAAGTGAAGCTTATAATTTTTGAAATTAATTTATTGAAGAAATGTATTTTTTAGGTGTGTCAAGAGTTGTATTTTAAGGTATTGTTATGCTTGACTTGTCTTCCTTACTTTACTTTTTTGACAATTCAAGCTCAGTACCAAGGGATCTGAAACATCAGCAGTAGTAACAGAGGAAGATGATGATGACGAAGAGGCTGCTCCTCCTGTTATTGCACCACGACCAGATCATACAAAATCAGTGAGTGTCTGCTAAGTGAATTTGACTGTGTATGGTTGTCTGAGTGGTTTTGAAAACAGCAATATGTATTTGATTTTTAGGGATTATTTCCAAATGTCTTCAAAATATTTTAGCATGGGAAAATTTGAGTAGAAGATCTTTACCTAAACACCAGTCATAAAAAAGCTAGTTTTTGAAAATTAAAATCAATGGCTTCTTTATTTTTTTAAATGTGTGTATATGTATATATATATAGTCTTCATTGTTTATTTTTGTATGCTTATATGCTTTCTCCTATCAAGTGTAGTCCCCATAAAATTCCCACCAGCATTCATCCATTCGCCATCACTGTAGTCCCCTGTGCTCTTCTCTCCCCACGTTTGATCCCTGTACCTCCCCCTTCTTTCTTAATGTCTCTGATTTATAGTTGCTAATTTTGGTTTTTTATTTATTTTTTTCTGATCCTTTATTCGGTTCCTTATATTCCTTCTGTAAGTAAAACCATGAGATATTTTTCCTTCTGACTGACTTCACCATGATCCCTTCTAGCTCCATCCATGTTGCTATGAGTAGTATTGCTTTATCTTTTTGATTGCTGCATCGTATTCCATTGTAGCTACATACCACATCTTCTTGATCCAGTCATCTATTTTTGAGCATTTGGGTTGTTTCTCTATCTTACCTTTTTTTAAATAATGTTGCATTAAACATAGGGGTGCACAGGTATCTTCGAATTAATGTTTTTGTGTTCTTTGGGTAGATCCCTAGGAGTGGAATTGCTGGGTCATATGGTAGCTCCATTTTCAGTGGTTTGAGGAACCTCCACACAGCTTTCCATAGTGGTTGGACCAGTTTGCATTCCCATCAGCAGCGTAAGAGGGTTCCTTTTCCACCACAGCCTCGCCAGCGCTTGTTGCCTGTTTTGTTTTGTTTTTTAAAAATTTATTTATTTATGCATGCATGCAGAACTGAGGTACAAGCCAGAGGTTCAGGGACCATGAGCAGATTCACCAGAGACAGAGTGGGGATCAGAACAGACTGTGACTGATGAAGCAGTCTGCGGGGAGCAGCGGGGGGGGTCAGGAGAGGTCTGCCACACCATGTGGATCACCTCCGCGGTGGAGATCGAACTCACACTGAAGTGGCTTTAGCTTCTCAGTGCTGTGCTTTAACCCGCTCTGCCACCAGGGAGGACCTGTTGCCTGTTTTTATAATATATGCCATTCCCACTGGTATAAAGTGGTATTTTATTGTGGTTTTGATTTGCATTTCCCTGATTATAAGTGATATCGAACATTTTTCCATATACCTGTTGGCCATTTGCGTTTGCTCTTTGGAGAAGTATCTTTTTAGCTTTTCTGCCCATCAAATGGCTTCTTTAAAAGTCAAAATACTGGGCCTCCCTGCTGACGCAAGGGGGTGAGTCTGAGCATTATGAAGCAATCCACACTCACTGTAGCTTGAATTTGATCCCAGGCCAGGGAGCTGGCCCTTCAGCAGACTGATATCCAGTGATAAGCCTTTTCTGCTCCCTACTCTGTCTCTGGTGAATCCTCTCACCCCCACCCATCACCAACCCTGTACCTCTTGCCTACACCCCAGCTATTGTATATATTATATGTATTAATAATTTTTTTTAGTCAGAATATTTAGTTCATTTTTTTATTAATATTACACATTCTCTTTCAGATAATTTATCTCAGTGCAGCTAATTACTGTATCTAAAACTTAGATCTTAACTGTTTATACAAATTATATATTGCCTCTTTCACATTTCTCTTAAAACTTTGCTATCTTTCAAAGAGGCTGGTGAGAGTGAAATTTGAAACCAGATGTGAGGAAATTTTAACAATAAAAGCTTTAGATAGGGACAGAAAAAGTCCTACCCTTCCTGTGCTAATATAATATATGTGGAAGTTACTGTGCAGTGGAGTGTAGGGGTGGTGCAGCAGACCTCTCCTGTCTTGTCCGCTGCCCCCCTCAGATGTAGGTAAAGCTCTGAGGACTGCCATTGGTACTGACATAATGATAAAAGTGTCTGTTTTCTTTATTTCCTAGAATTAGTGTTTGAAATTATATTTATGTAAAAAAAAGGGATATAGTAATAGTTCAACATGTTATTTTGCTCTTCAATTTTTTTATGCAGTTAAAACCATGCTTTTTTTTTTTAAACGTGTGCTTTTTGCTTCATTGCTGGCATATCATAGATCTTGTTAAATTTCCATTCATGGATATGCTCTTTTGCTAGAAAGATTTTTTAGGTCTGTGTTTGCTGTGCCAACAAAAAATGTTGCACATTTAAGTCTTCTTAGGTATTAATCATTTTATAAGACAATTATAAAAATACTGTTCTTATTCTTCAGACCAGTGACAGCAACTGAGTTTTGATTAAAGTCAAATAATGAACAGCGTGCCAGTGTGGATACCTAAAAAAATACTTTTCATCTCTCTGCAGATTTATACACGATCTGTAATTGACCCTATTCCTGCACCAGTTGGTGATTCTAATGTTGATAGTGGTGCCAAGTCTTTAGACAAACAGAAAAAGAAGACCAAAATGACAGATGAAGAGATAATGGAGAAATTAAGTATGTTACTTACACATTATTTTATTCTTAAGCTGATAATAGCTCTTGAAACATAACCAAATGGATTTTACTTTATAAGTTATATTTTGACTTAAGGCATGGGAATAAATTTTCTTCTAGGAATAGTTGCCCAGTTAAAATCTAGTGAAACCAAAATAATGCTCTAGAGTTGATTTGGGAGTAAAACTTCCCTGAGAGCCAAATCTAAGGCTTCCATTTGGAAGAACTATCAAAAGGAACTTATATACAGGGCCTGTCTGGTGGCACAGGGGATAAGTCTTAGCACAGTGAAGCTATTGGCAGCCACCTACAGCATGAGTTCAATACCCGGCCAGGGAGCTACTCACATGGTACAGCAGACCTCTCTTGTCTTGCTCACTGCTCCCCTCAGCAATGTATTTCAGGATATCCACCTGTTCTGCTCCTCAATCTGTCTCTGGTGAATCCTCTCACTAGATTATTTACATGAGTGTCTGTTAATGCCCCTGTCTCCTTTAACCTTGAAAGTTTAATATGGTTATCTTGTATATTGGGTTAGCAGTAAAAAGAACATAAATTGCAGTTTTTATGTAACTTACTCTTCCTAAATTTGAAGCTTTTTCAATTGTAGCTTTAAGAACTTTCTAAAATAGCTACATGGTTAGTTCATATTAGAGCAGAATAATCTTTGTAATAGTGACTTCCTAAATATATTGAAAGGTTGAAGATGCATGGGAATCAGAAAATTCATTTAGAATTATTTACTTGGATATCATTTAAATATGTCTGCTAGTAAATGCTTTATTACTAATCACTAGTACATTTGAATGGAATATGAAAGGTAGTATGATCAGTTTGTTCTTCGCCCAGAAATTTCCCAGTTTTAAGGTTGAACATCCCCTATCCTGGGACATCACTGAATTGTAGTCAAAATAGTACAGTTGGATATTCTAAAAACGTAATCAGTTTTGAAGAAGGGACAGGATAATGAGGCTTACAGATATAACCTAATGGCAATAATGTGTCTTCTAGCTTCTCATAATTTTTAATTTTATGTATTTGTTTCTTTAGTGTTTTTGTGTTTCAAACATGTTGTGTTTGAAACAGTGTTAGGATTGAAACCTACTGTTTTGATTTTATTAAAAGGAATACTCTAATAATTAATTTATACTTTTATAATACTTGACTGGACTTCCATTTTTTGTTTAAAATAGGAACTATTGTCAGCATAGGTGACCCTAAGAAAAAATATACCAGATATGAAAAAATTGGGCAAGGGTAAGTATTTATGACTATATTACTACAATAGTCAACATTTCTAGAAGTGTACACCATGATACTCTTTTGCCTGCCGACATTAAGCACTTAAAGTTCTATCTGTGTTATTCCTGGATTTGTGTTTTTTTCAAGATACTATTAAAAAGCTATACTATTTAGTAGATTGTACATTTTTTCTTCTTACATGTTATTTGCCATTGATGTTAAGGTGAATGGGGAAGAGAGTAGATGAATGGGAAAGCTGGCCATCAAGTATATTTTAAAGACAATAAGAACACTTACTGCAAGACTACAAAAATAAAAATAGCATTTTAATCGTATCATTGAGTATTGATCTTTGAGTCCACTAATCTGACTTTGTCCAATAATTTGTTTTTAAGTTATATTAATTGAAACTTTTTGGGCTTGGAAGCAAATGACTGTCTTGAGTTTTGCAACAAGGATAGCCTTTATTCCCTCACCCTCCTTCTTGCTTTTACACATTTTTAAGATGCTAGGGCTAAATGATCTTTTATTTATTTTTTTTTTTCAATTGATCATAGTATAAAATCTTCGGTTGATATAAATGATGTGATTTACAAAAGTTTTAAGTGGAGAAAACAATTAAAAAATCAAAATAAAACTACAAACGGAAAAAGTGATAATGATTTAGAAACCTTAAATCTGTTTTTTTCCTCCATAGGGCTTCTGGTACAGTTTTCACTGCTACTGATGTGGCACTGGGACAGGAGGTAGCTACTCTATTCATATATTTTGCTATTACCATTAACTTTTAGTATATAAATAAACTAGATAAAGCTGCAAATAATAAATGGGAATCTTACTTTTCAGTTGAAAAATTTACTCTTAATTTTATAGCACTTTTCTTATTAAGGAGGATAAAGGAAGAATTATGTATTTAGTTTCTTAAGTAAACAGATATCTTTAATTTAAAAAATTATTTTCCCAACTTGGAATGAAGAAGATTAATTCCTGGCTCTGGGTTTATTTTAGATTGGTTAACTACTTTCAAGAGAAACCTCTACCTTCAAGAGTTATCTTGAATAATTTATAATCTCATTATACAGTTTTCTGTATAATAAATTAACAATTGCTGTTTGTAATTTTCTAAGAGAATTAGGAAACTGTTGTGATTTTTTTTAAAAATTGTTTCCATCATAGGTTGCTATCAAACAGATTAATCTCCAGAAACAGCCAAAGAAGGAATTGATTATTAATGAAATTCTGGTGATGAAAGAATTAAAGAATCCCAACATAGTTAACTTTTTGGACAGGTAAAAATAAGTATTTCTTAAACATTGGCATAAAAAGGTAGAAATTTTAAGGCTCATGATTAGACTGAGACTTAGAATGTCAAAATTGAAAAGTAAGCTTAAAGGAAGTAGAGGGATTAAAATAATACTCTGCAGTGTAGAAGGTCCCTTTTTTATAGGTATTACTTGACAAGTATGAGAAGGTAGTTAGATGAAAGATAATATTGGTGTTCATACTCATTGCAAATTACCAGAAGTAGGAACAATAAAGAAAAGATGGTGATTTACATTGACAGCCAGAGGTGACTAGTCCCACAGTTTTTAGACTTTGAGATCAATTTTTATATCAAATGCTGTCTTTTATGGATAAATTGTGTATGTCTATCAAAGCCTCATGTAATTAGAAATTGATATTAAAAAGAAGTATGTCTTTCCACTGTGAGTGAAAGAAAATAGTAGAAAAATAAATGAAGGTTATAATAATAATATTATAAAAATAGAAGATGATAGGTGATTTTCTTATATCTATATTTTCAATTTGTTTAAAATAGGGAAAAGATAAAACATTTTTAGGTTACCTCCATAGTTTGGCATCCATATTCATAGAAATAAACTCCAGGTACATTTATGTGCTTTGTAAAGGAGTATTTCACATCAGCATAGCATGTGATTAAGATAAGACACACACTTTGGGATCAGTTATATTCAGTTTCAGATTCTCTTTCTGACACTTTGTAACTATGAGATGTTTGATAAGTTACTTAACCTCTCCAAGCCTGTTTCTTTATGTGGAAAAAGGGGCAAGTAATTCCTACCTTACAGTTATTTTAATTGAAATAATCCATATACCCAGTTAGATTAAAATTGTGGGCAAATTTTAGAATGAGTCAAGAAAATCATAATGACCCTCAGTTATTTTTCTACATTGTTGGATAGCAGCTTTTTGGTTTTGTTATCAGAATGCCTAACATTAGAACATTGTGTGTTTAGAAAAGTGAAAGTATGAGTTTATCTTGTGTGCGTGTGTTAGTTTTTATTTTTATTTATTTATTTATTTATTTATTTATTAGTTATCTGGTGGGAGATGAATTGTTTGTAGTAATGGAGTACCTTGCTGGGGGATCACTGACTGATGTTGTAACAGAAACGTGCATGGATGAAGCACAGATTGCTGCTGTATGCAGAGAAGTAAGTTTTCTTCACTTTTGATAACTTAGGGTGATGATGTGGTTAGTGGGAGGTGAAAATGGGTAATGTTTTCTGCCTGCATAATTTTTATTACGTAAGATACTTCTCTGTACACATTTTTTACAAGTTATTTCCACACCATGTCATCCTACATAAGTGTTCCAACCCTTTCCTTCATGTATAAGATAATTCTGGAATGAAGTATGGTCATTTAAGATTCCAACTCATAGGTAAATTATAGTTGCATGATCATTATAATTTTCATCCAAATGGGGTACTTAATGTCTCATACACTACTCAGAAGTGGAAACAAGAACTGTCTCAGACACGTTTGCCTTTAATGTCTTCTTTTTACTCCAGTTTTCTTATTGAAGGTGAAGGAACTGGGTCTTTTTTAATAATTAGTGAGTTCCTTGATATTCATTAATAAGTACTGTTTGTATAAGTGAGTAGAATTCTGAGCCAAAAAAGAAGGCTTTCTTCTCCCATTTAATCTTTTTCTACAAATCAGATTTGGGTTAATGGTTTGCTTATTGTCATTGAAACTGTGATCCTACTTCTAATATCCTGGGAATCACTGTCAGAATGCATAACATTATGAATGTTCAGAAGACCATTGTGTTTTCTATGGTTGACTTTCAGCATTTCTACAGTAATACGCAAGTGGATTAGAAACAATGTTTATGTAAGAATAATACGTTTTACTTTTCAGCTTTTATTAAAGCATTAAAATAAATATTCTTTAAAAATTTTAATTCTGAGTTAATTATACTCTACCCCTTTTGTTGTTTTAGAGGGAAGGAAATAACTAATAATTAGGAATATGATATCCCTAAACACATAATACTTGGCCACTTAAAAGCAGATTGAAAACAAGAATTTACTTTATTCTTAGTTTTTCAAATAATTTTTTTCATAATGACAAAATAATTTAGAAGTTTCTTTATTTGTGACAAGTTTGTTTCTATTTACCTGTACAAGTGTTTTTCTGGGAATTTGTTCTGTCTAGTACTCTGTTTAAATGCTTGGTAAATGTTGTAAGGTAATACGCAGCTTACCTTTTGCTCTTGAATAAATGGTAGGATATTTTTATGAGATTTTTATTATTGATGATGTCGAGGCTTTGTTAATCTCTTGATGGGTGTGAGACATAAATGCATGATTTTTTCCTAGTTTACAACTTATACCCTCAGTTTACATTTAAAATCACAGAGGCAAGTATTTTTTAATCTAATCTTTAAAAAAAATTATATAAGGAAGTAGATGTTTTTCCTCACTTTTTAGTCAGTGTTTCCTGAAACATGGCATATGAAATTACATATAAGTTGTGGATGTAATACTGTGTAAAATTTACCATAGAAAGTGAAGAAATACTACATTACATTGATGGAACTGAAGCACCCAGCATCTTACCCACTTTTCAGTAGCTTGCATTGACAAGTTTTCTGAATATTTCAGATTCAAGTAGGAATAGCCACAGGTTTATCTTTTGCTCTTCAAATGATTTTCTGAAGAGCTTTCTGTATGTGTGTTCATCAAGCGCTTCCAAATTGAAAAGGCCTAGAAATTATATAGATTTACCCATCAATTTTATCAATGAAAACTATTAAACTGGGCCTCCTGGCCTTCCTTAGTGGTGCAGCGGGTTAGGGCACAGCACTGCAAGCTAGCTGCTGATGCTTCAGTGCAAGTTTGATTCACAGCCCTGGAGGTGATCCACATGGCACAGGAAACTTCTCCTGTCTCACCTTTGGCTCCCCTCAGCAGTGTACTTCCATTGATCTGCCTGTTCTGCTTCACACTCTGTCTCTGGTGAATCCTTTCACTGCTCCTATACTTCTGGCCTGTACCCCAGTTCTGTATGCATAAAAAGCATTAAAAAAAAAAGGCAACTCGGCCTCCCAGGTGGGGCAAGGGGTTAAAGCACAGCACTATGAAGCTATTTGCAGCCACTGCACCATGAATTTGATCCCCAGCCAGGGTTGTTGACCCACATGGCACAGCAGACCTCTCCTGTCTGGCCCGCTGCTCCCCTTAGAAGTGTATTTCTTTCTTTTTTTTGCTTTTTAATAAGTTTGATTAGAAGCATTCAAGTTTTTTTCTTTAAAGATTTATTTTATGCATACAGAACTGGGGTACAAGCCAGAGATGCAGGGGCAGTGAGAGGATTCACCAAAGACAGAGTGGGGAGCAGAACAGGTAGATTGATAAAGTAGACTGCTGAGGGGAGCAGCGGGCGGGTCAGGAGAGGTCTGCCAAGCCATGTGGATCACCTCTGGGGCAGGTGGGGATTGAAATCATGCGGAAGTGGCTTTAGCTTCTTAGTGCTGTGCTTTAACCCACTGTGCCACCAGGAAGGGCCAGAAGTGTATTTCAATCAGTCTGCCTGTTCTGCTCCCCACTTTGTCTTTGGTGATTCTCCTGCACCTCTGGCCTGTACCCCCATTTTTGTATGCATAAATAAATCTTTGTAAAATAAGAAAACATTAAAACTAAGTGATATTCTTAGGGCAGTGGCAGAGATAAGACTAGATAAATTATGTGGTCTCTGAGTAATGCCAGGGGTAGTAGGAGGAGCTAATTAAATTAGTTAAGACAGCTTTATAATTTAACACGTAAGAGGATATCTTTTTCTTTACAAATGTAAGTATTGTAGGGTCTTCCCTGGGAACTAGAAGTAGTGCTAAGACCATACTGCTATGTGAACATCTCTTAGACTTTAGAGATCCTTACAGTGACAGATTTGTTTCTTCTGTTCAGTGTTTACAGGCATTGGAGTTTTTACATGCTAATCAAGTGATCCACAGAGACATTAAAAGTGACAACGTGCTTTTGGGAATGGAAGGATCAGTTAAACTTAGTGAGTAACAACATTTATTTAATTTTCTGCTTTGAAAGTGGAAAAAAAAATGCTATTGATGTTTTTATAACCGTGTGTGAAGGAGCAGGAGAGAATGATTAAAAAAAAAAAAAAAGACTCAACTGGACAGCTACTATTGAATTGCTGAATCATTTTGGCAGGTTACTTGATTTAATCTCTGTGTCCACTTTCTCATTTACATGATAAGGGAAATAACTAATAGTATCTACTTTCGAATTCTTCTGAGAATTATATTTTGAAATACTGAAGAACAGTGCCTAGAATTTAATGTTGGTGCTATCTTCCAAAAGTGAACTTGAGGGCCTCCCTGTTGGCTCAAAGGTTAAGTCTCAGCACCATGAAGTTATTGGCAGCCACTAAATTCAATCCCCAGCGAGGGAGCTAACTCACATTGCACAGCAGACCTCTTCTCCACAGTGTATTTTAGTCTTTCTTCCTGTTCTGCTCCCCAACCTGTCTCTGGTGAATCGTCTCACCCCCTCCCCCTCCCCCACATCTCTGGCCTACACCCTAGCTCTTTTATGCATAAATAAATAAAAATAAATTCTTTTTTTTAAAAAAAGTGAACTTGAATTTGTATCTGATAATTAGGGTAGATTTTTCTCCTTATGCTGTTCAGCTTTATTGGATTAGTAGAGAATAGTCTAATCAGGGGAGGATAGGCCTCAGGTATTTCAAGAGGGTGGAGGTGGGACATGTAAGCCTCTTTTAGGTAATTATCTTCCATAGCAGATGTTTACAAGTAATGAAAAACATTCTAAGGATTATCCCTTTCCTCAGCTGGTTATAATCTCTCAGTTCCAACCAAGTCTTCTTGAAGACAATAAATACAAAGTTGTGTTCTGTAACATTGTAAAAAAAAAAATTTTTTTTTTTTCTTATAAAAGTAGGCTGAACACTAGAGTTAGTGGCAGTTTACCCACTCCTGCCTTAGTTTGATAAGTCAGTAGACCAAGGCAAGGCTCTTTTGGTTTAATTTTTAGCACAGTAAAGACATTTTATAGCACAAGTATCTGAATGTACAAAGTATGTTTTTAGGCTCAATTAACTTTGTAATTTATTCTTTAATTAAAGTCACTTCCCTTTTTTTTTATTAAAGTTTATTTTTACATCATTTTGTATACTTTTGTAAAAAAAATTTTTTTTAAACAAAAATACCTTCAATATCAAATAGTAAGGAAACTGATAATTTATGATACTTTTATATTCAATGATAATCTGGTTAAGGTAATGAGATAGGGAAATGTGCTAGTATAGAAAGATCTCTAAAAAAGCAGCTTACACAATAAAAAATAAACCAAGTAGCTTATAGGTTTTTTAGCTATCAAAAATTCTCAAGTTTACAAACCTAAATGTGACAGTATTTACAAATGGGGTAAAATGGGTTTAACACTTAAAAGGAGGAAACTATTCTAGATTCTAACCCTGAGCTTCCCTTTAAATAACTCTGTTGATTAAAACTCTGGTTGGAATAGAATAACGTTGATCTGGCCTTTATTGATACAGTTGAATTAAATGGTTCTTTTTTTAGTCTCTACCAAGTTGGGTGCTGAGTAATTCTATTTTCTGCTGCTTTTCTTCAAAATCACTTCCTCACCTTTGTCTGATTTACTACATGTAGTCACCTTTGATGACCTGTTTAGCCCTTCTTCAGCTGTATCTTTAAAAAATTTAGGGTAGAGTTATCTAGAAGAAAAGATATTGATAATTTGTGCCCTCGTGCCTGCTTATGGGAATTTAAAGTAAGCAAATGAGAATGTGTAACATTAACAAAATAGTTGATAATTCATTCTGCTTTACTGATTAATAATAATCTTAGAAAACAAAAGGGTGAATAGTCAAGTGTAATTGTCATCTAAAGTGAACTTTTGATAAAACTATCCATGAGCAGTATTAACTCTTGTTATTCTATTCTATTTTATTTTATAGCCGACTTTGGTTTCTGTGCCCAGATCACCCCTGAGCAGAGCAAACGAAGTACCATGGTTGGAACACCATACTGGATGGCTCCAGAGGTGGTTACACGAAAAGCTTATGGCCCAAAAGTGGACATATGGTCTCTGGGTATCATGGCTATTGAGATGGTGGAAGGAGAGCCTCCATACCTCAATGAAAACCCCTTGAGGGTAAGACCAGTTAAACCAACCATATTTTAAGAAAAATCCTTTTCTTAGCATACATAGAACCTGCTTGCACCAGGTGTTGACCCAGAATTTAAGCTGCAAAGTTAATAAAATCTAGTCTCTGCCTTTATTCTACAAATAAAAACCATTTGCTCCTGAGTTACTAAGTTGACTATTTTAGTAAATTGTTCATAGATTTCCTCTAAGCTTTCATATGTGGTTGTTGTTATTACAGTAATAGAAGTTATTATACTAATGTGATATAATTTTACACATAAGTAAGAATTTGTTTACTTTCCTATAAAGTTAAGAGTCCCTAAACATACCTTTAGATTGTCAACTTTGAATTTTGACCTCCGTAGCCTCAGGCTGAGAAGACAATAGCAGACCTATGAAAAACATGTAGGTGGTGATATTAAAGCCCATATAGCAAACAAAAGAATGAGAGTCCCAAAAGAATAAGAGTGAGATCAGTAGACTAAACAATTTTATATTCTAGGAGTTGAGGTAAAAGAGATTGGGTGTCCTTCCTTACCCCCTTTTTTTCTACTCTTGAATTACCATATATGGCTCAGTGCCAGTAGTTATTAAGGAAATAGAAATCTAAACCCCAGCAAGAACAACTATAATTAAAAAGAAAGAGTAATAAGTGTTGGTGAGAATGTGGAGAAATTGGAGGCCTCAGATATTGCTAGTGGAAATGTAAATGATAGTCTTTGGAAAACATTTGACAGTTCTTCTGAAATTTAACATTGCCTTAATCACTAGCAGTTCCACTGGTAAGTATCTGTTCAAGAGAATTTAAAACATACATCTGCACAAAAATTTAAACACACATGTTCATAGCAGTTTTGTTCATTATAGCACATGTGGAAACAATCCAAATAATAAACAAAAGTGGTATGCCTTTTAATATTCTTTGAACATAAAAAGGGAATGAAATGCAGGCACACACCACAACATTTAAACCTTTAAGCAGTATGCTAAGTGAAAGAAGTCAGACTCCACAGATCATATATTGTATGATTCCATTTATGGTGAATTCTTATTTGTAGTAATTATGGTCTATGAAGACACAAACTGAATTAACAAATAATGAGCCACTGCTTCTAGGTGAAATATAGGGTTGGTTTTCTATAAGCCCCTCTCAACATATTTTACCAACTGATAAATAATCTTATGTTTTGTGTGTTTCTGTTTAAGGACATCTTATTTAATATGTTGCTTAATTCAGTAATGTTGAACTCAAAGTCAGCCTTATAACTCATGCCTGAATGGAGCTTATCAAGCACCTGTATTTTCTCTGTAAGACACATTCCAGCCTTCTTGCACTTAGGAGTACTTCCCACTATGCTCTTCACCTCTCTGCAAGCATCTGTGAATAGTCACAGAAACATTGAGAGTATTGATTTTGGGGTTACAAGTAAATTTTAGCAAGAAGCTGAATGCACGTGTGAATGCACATTACTGAATCTGCAAGTAATGAGGATAAGCTCTAGAACAGATAAATCCACAGAGGTAGCAGATAGTGAGACAGTAGGCAAGATAAATAAGACTAGAGAGCCTCTGTACGAGAAAGAGTGAGAAATGATCCTAAGAGTTTGACCAGAGCAACTAGAATAATGAAATTGAGGTTCACCTTCACTGAAGGTGAAGGTTGTGAAGAGAATAGGGCAGTGGGTGTGACAGGTGGAAGATTAAAAGATAAGTTTTGACATGTTTTAGCCATGTTAGGTTTGAGATGCCTGTTCAGGTATCTAAATGGCTGTTGGGCATGGCAAGTCTGAGATCCAGACTAGAGATAAGATTGAGACTTATTTTGCTATAGAAATCCATTAAATGAGACTAGGTAAGACCACCAGTTCAGTTGGGCATAGATAGGTAGTAGAAAACAATCAGCTTGCACTCTGAGGCTAAGAGTTGATATGATGGACCAGTGTAGGAGAATGAGAAGGAATGACCAGAGAGAAAAACCAAAGTAAGCACAGGCCCTGGAATCTGCATGCACAAAAATGAGCTAGAAATTAGCTTGTTGTAAACTACAGTTACACCAAGTAAGATGAGAACTTGATCATTGGGATTGGCAAACTTAATCGGTGGAAACTTGATGTGCAGAAACTTCTGTTTCCTGTGAAGATGAAATAACAGGGACCAGATTAATCTTTCTTGTCCGAAATAACAGCAAAACAGAGAGGAATTTATAGAGATTTCCTGTATAGGCCCCCTTTCCTCATACGTGCATAACGTCAACTGTCAACATAACAACTATATTTCTTACTCAATGAGCCTACATTGACAACATTGTCTTGACCTACATTAGCATTCACTTATGGTGTCGAACATTCTCTAAGTTTTGGACAAATATAATGAATATAGAATATATTTTGCTTTCCTATCAATTTTCTGAGCTCTGCTTGTATAGCTATAGCTATATTGATACAGCTAATGACCTGATGTTGGTGTTTAGTATGATTGCCTTTAAGCAGTAAAGATGGGAGGGGGAGGTAGGGAGATAAATAAGTAAAGACCTATAGACTTTGTAAAATACTCCCACTTTGTTGAACTACCTTATGTCAAAGATACTCTTCCATTTTTAGGCTTTGTACCTGATAGCAACTAATGGAACCCCAGAACTACAGAATCCAGAGAAACTTTCCCCAATATTTCGGGATTTCCTTAATCGATGTTTGGAAATGGACGTGGAGAAACGGGGTTCAGCCAAAGAATTATTACAGGTGAATTTGGAAATTGAACAGTTTTTAGAAAAAAATTTCTTTTTGAGTAACGAACAGGGAGTTTACATATGATTGATAATGACATTTCCATGTGCACTCAGCCGCAATAGTAGCAGCAGCATGGCAGCTGCTGCAGTTTAAGGTTTCATCTGCTAGGAATAAAATACACATAATACTGTAGTAGACAAATGAGTTTTTCATATTATCAATTCTCAGACTAGTTCATTGATGACTTTTAGGCATCTATGTCATGTGACTGAGATTTCATATTAGAAAAACTGAAAGCCTGTATTGAGGCCTGTTGATAATAATTGTTTTTATACATATATTTATTACAACCCATAATTAGTTTTTGGAACTTAGTTAAAAGGAATTTTTTTCCTCCTAACCTAGTGGCATTTACATATTTGTTTCCCTCTTTCTGGCAGCATCCCTTCCTGAAACTGGCCAAACCATTATCTAGCTTGACACCACTCATCATGGCAGCTAAAGAAGCAATGAAGAGTAACCGTTAACATCCTTGTTGTGGCCTCATGTTCTTTTTTCCATTTTCTAAAAGAAGTATTTTAATATATGAAAGTTATTACTCTTTGTGGGGAGGTTATAGAGAAAATGTCTGGATAACAAGGAAGAAAAATGCAAACTACTACTTCCTGAAGACAGCCAGGAGAAAAATGCAAAATAGAATGACAGCTTTCTATTGAATCCCTTCTTTAGGGTCCAAAAGGAATTGTGGACTGAATCACTAGCCTTTTTCAGCAGACAGCTCACTAGGGTCATTTATCATGCTTGAGATTTACATTTTATTTTGCTGACTTCATTGTAATAGATCCCATTCATTGTTCCTTTTGGGTATTTTTAATACTTGAATGGCAGATTCTAGTTTTTCAAATTATTTGACTCATTTGCTAGTCTTCTTTAAGCTCCCTCATAGGTTTTTTCCCCCTTGACATGCTACTTTTGAGTTGCTTTGAGAAATTTTTCTTACTCCTAAATTCAAGGCAAGTGTGATGGAAGTTATGTAGCTCTTTCTATTGGCCAATGAGCTTGGTATGGTTTAACTTTGTTTAGAAGTTAGGACCAGCTGTTGTTACATGTAATATTTAAGTTCAGAACTTGAACTGAAGGAATGGGGGAAGAAAAGTATGTGATTTTTACCTTTTTAAACTAATGTGAAAGAGTCAGCTTTAGAAATTTCATGGTAGTGAGTTTGGCAGTTGTTACATGTATAGAGAGAGGACTAATAATCTATATTTATAACTAAATCATTGAGTCAGAAAATGAATTCCCATTGACTGTATATCTTTACAATTTTATTTTCCTTTCTGACTATATTCTCTTCAGATTTGGCTTCAGGAACCAAAGTAATTTGTTCCGGCTTCAACTTGGCCTCTGTGTCTTTGGTTGGTGCCACTCTTTTTTTTCCTCCTTCTTTCCCCACCTCCCTTTTATTCCTTCATTTTGAATATAAGTTTCTGTATATGTTGTAATTTTAGTTAGTTTGTTTTTTAATTAACCCTTTCTTACCCTATTCTCCCCTTCCTTTTTCCTCTATGGTAAATAATATAACAACCATTGACTTTTTAGAATCTACATATTTGGGACTAGCAGAGACAAAGTGAGAGACTTGAATCTTGGTGAGTTCTAAAATACTTAGATGAGATTATAGTTATTAAAGAGATACATCAGTTATATACAGACACAGCTTCTAATCAGTAAACTGTAGAGGTTTGTTGTAAGTCACATTGTTCCCAATCCATTATCAACATGTTACTGTCTATGAGAACTTAAGAGTATTTCTTGATAAAATTATTGATCATTTGAGATGTTGAGTTACTTTTTTTTTCAAATAAATAAAGTAAAAAAAGTAATAGAGAAAGGAAGAAAATATGTACTTATTAATAGCAATATATTTTTTTTTTAAAGATTCAAAAGGTCTGTGACCAATAGCATTATTAGAGTATACTCTGTCCCCTTCTTTTCCCCTCTCTCCTTGTTTTGCCATTGGGGACTGTATTATCCCAGCTACTATGCTAAGAGCCACACACAAGAGACAGATTTGTGGCTTAATTTGGACATTTTCCCACCCTGCCCTCCTAATTAATTGCACACCTTACTATCCTACAATAGTACAGATCATGAATAAAACTAATTTTAATGTTTTGGAGTTGCATTAGGGACATAGTTTTATTTCCTGTCATTCCCATCATAATCTGTGTTAAAAATACACATATAAGGATAAGAAATGGGATTTTGTTTAAATTGATAACGGCAGATTTTCAGAAGAAATGATAAAAAGATACTTTGTGTGATTTATCTAGACTAGCACTTAGTGGTCTCTTCAATTTGATTCTTTGATTTTTCTCTAGATTATATTGATCTTCAGCATTACTAAATTCATAATAACAGGCTTGATTGTTACAGTGCCTCTTGAATTCCAGATTTGGACATCTTTTGTAAATAATGTCTGTATAGATTCTGATAAAGAAGATTCTACCAATGAAGTAAAAAAGCAACTAGATGATAAGACTAATGATCATGCCTACTCTAGAAGGCACTGCCATACACAAGTTGTAAAGTTCATACTCATTGAATACAGTGCCAATACTACATTTTTATGCCTGTGAACTCAACAAAGGTCTTTTCAGTTTATAGAAGCAGTTTGGGATTTGTATTTACCACTTTGATGGTTATCTGTATGTCCATTGCTGGCAACGGACTTTGTCATTAAAACCTGTCTCCCAGGGTAAGGGAGCAACACTGTGGTTTTAGTCTTTACTTATTCAGATAAACTAACTTGCTATATAAATAATACTTTGGTTAATTCTGAAATGTGTCATTTTAAAACAAAATAATCTTAAGCAATATGGAATTGTGATTTATTAGCTTGTTTTAAATTAAAATGTTCAGAGTCTGTTGAAAGAAAAATTCTATCTGAATCAAGATTCATGTTTCTTTTTTAAATAACTGCCTTTTGTATTCACTTTGTCATTACTTTAGAATGAAAATTCCCATATAAATATAAGAGTTTAATTGTTCTCTTTAGTCCTCTTGTATAATTAGAACAATATAGCTATAATACTTATTTATTGTATTTCAGACTTTGTTGGTCTTGAAGTTTCCTTCTGTAGTTCCTTTTGCTGCTTTAAAGGACAGTTAAAACTGGTAAACCATAAAATACTGAGTATTTTATCCTACCTAATGTAATAGGTGAGTGGATTGATTGAGACAGCATAAGAAACTAAGCTGACACAACTCTATATTCATGTGTTGAGTGCCTGACACATTATATAAATTCTCTTCCCTTCAACATAGAAATATTAAGCTGCTTAAAATGCATTTAATTATCACCAATCCTAAACAACCCTGTGCCTTTAACAAGCAATTTAAAACTACCTAATGAGTATTTCTTTGTACGGCTTATATAAATACATGTTCATTTTTATATACTGTATTCTAGTCAGAATAATTTAGGTCTGATCAGGCAATACCTAGTGAGAAAAAAATGGGTGCTTAAAGAATTTGCATCAGTTTTTTTAACCTAATTTTTATAAAACATACTAAGATCCATATCCAGTAAAATATCAAAAACTTTATACTGTAACTTAAAACCAAATTAATACTAATTTGGGGGTGTTTTAATAGTGGAATTGCATAGTAATGTCAAATATAGATTGTGTTGCCTTCTTCCACTGCTCCCACAATAGATATTTCAGCAGTTAAAATCCAGTTTACCATGTTTGTAATGTGTGTATATGTGTGTGTGTGTTTGTGCATATACATACATAAACATATACACATACATACACACTTTACCCCCTCACTCAACACATTCATCAACCACTGTAGCGAAGACCGTGTGTTAGATGTGAATCCCAAAGGAGAATCAAGCACTGGTCTCACCCTAAGAGAGCTGAAGATTTTCTCACTTGCCATTCTGGAATGTTGCCAGATGAGGAGGGGGAAATGTATAATTCTATCAAACATTTTCATTCTCAAGAAAAGCAAGTAATTGGAATTGAACATCTTTGGTAGGAATGTATTGCATCTTTTATCCCCCCCTTTTGGTAGATAGAAATGAAATAAAGTGAAAATAGTTTGTTTTTTCTGTTTTGTCTTCAAATTTTATATTGCCTTTATTTTTAATTTAATCCCATTCAATTATTTAATTGTTACATTGACTTAAACTGCTGTATTTGATGACTTTGTTCAATAATTTTGTTCTTTCAGGGCTAGAAATAAACTTTTTTTAATGTTCATTTTTCCCTTTCCTAAACTTTCTTTTCTTAAGCCAGAGAAACTTAACAGGTTTTCAAACAGCATTGCTTTATTTTTAAGGAAAAATAGGTTTTAAACATGTCATGATGCCATTTTGAATATATTACAAAGCTCCAAATGAAGTCATAACTTCATTATATACATTCAGCCTGGGATGTGACATACTCTGAAATGGATAGCAACTGCAGTACAGGGAGTTCACGGACAGGAAACAAAATGGTACATTTTTTAGTCTAGAAGAGTATAGGATGGCTACTTGAAATACATTTGTTAGACTATAAACTATTCAGTGCTATTGTAACATTTGTATTTCTTTAATGCTCAAAACTTTTGCCTGAGAAAAGTTCAAAAATACCTGAATGATTGATTTCAGAAGTACTGTATGTAGAACCCTTACTACTACTTTGATGTCAGTAGCTTTTTAAAATCAGGGAATTGTTTTTTATACTATTGTGTAACAAGTTTTACCTTTTGAGGAAGAAGGAGTAAAGCAATGAAGGAAAAAATGTCTTTTTACACCTACTTTATTTCAGGCAAATAATATAACAAAGTAATATACACAGATTAAAATTTCAAATAATCTTAGTGAAATTATTGTAAGCTTTCAGTTCCCTACATTATGCTTCTCCGCTGCTGAGTCCTGTGCCACAGAAGTATCCTCTTTGGACTCTTCTTTTTTTCTCTCCCAGTCTACATTAATGTTGATATGTCTAACACACTTCAGTAACTTTGTTGTGCCAGTTGAGAGTTTGGGTACTGTCATACCATCCCATTCTCCCATCTCCACTTCCTCTAGTCATCCAAGTGAAAGAGGTGACAATTTTTTATTAGTAGTCAAGTCATTTTTTTTTTT